AGTTAACTATTATTAATTGTGTCTGTCTTACACCTATACTTGACTGCTGCTAACTGAGCAGCATGCTGCCTAGCAAAGCACTGAAAAAGAAAACAGAAAGCACCATCATAAAAACCAACATGTCCTTTGGGAGGCTGACAGATGGCTATGTCATCTTCTGTTCTTGTTTATCTTTCATCCTTTGCCTTATATTTTCCTCCTGTGGTTAGGAGACATGTTTAACTTTCCCCTCAAAATGTCACATATAACCTCTTTACTTTATTGAGTTTTAGAAAGTGATTGGCCCTAAATAATTTAAATTATATAAAAAAATAATTTAAATTATATAATTCAAAACAGAAATAATGCAGTTTCATTTGTGATATAATTTAAATACTGTTAAACACAATGAAAATCAATAAGATCGTTCTGTATTATTTATACTTAGTCATCATGTGCACATGTGATATTTAGAAGTTTTTCACATACTTTGGGAATTTCCCAACTGCCATAAATTAAAACTCTGCATGATATTGTCACACTGAAATCATCGTTTGCACCATAATATTTAAGGAGTGATAAATGGCACCCAAACTGTGTAATTGCGTCACTTAGGTGAGAAGTGTGCTTCTACTGATGGCATGTGTTAGTCAGGATGTGAGATTGAAATATATTTACTGTGATGTTGGAGGTTTTCCGACTTAGGTGATGTGTGTGTTTGTGTGTGTATGTGTGTGTGTGAAAGAGAAAGAACAACATTAACAGATATTTCTCTCTCTCTCTCTCTCTCTATATATATATATATATAGAGAGAGAGAGAAATGCTAGGAGAAAAATTGATTATATATATGCATGTGTTTATGAGAATATTAAATTATCTGCATTCTCACATGTACCTTTCTCTTTATTTTAATATTTATAACGAAGTACACATTTTATAGAGTGGTTTCTTTTTTTCACCAAATTTCTGTTCCTGAATCAATGGTGCATTTCACAGTCAATAGCCTCCCAGTCCTGGAAGTACTGTGTGCACACACACAGGACTGAGACTTTGATGGAGAGGGTAATACCTTAATGTGCATTTCATCAGATACCCAGCTGCCCACATACTAAATAAGCAGGAAACTATTCACAAAATGAATGTTTTCTGTTTGTCTGGTTGTGCTTTCTGGGCACTGCTTCAAACATATTTTTCAGATAACTTAAGCCCCCAAAAAACATATTGGAGAAATATTTAATTTTTTTAAAAAGTAGAATTGGAAAAAAATTAAAAAATAAAAAGTAGAATTGGTTTGGCCGAAGTTTCACAGAACTTGCACCAAATGAACAAAACCGTAACCATTTTTATGGCATTCTAAGATACATAGATTGAATGCCTTTAAGAGAAACATTTATAGATAATATATTTTAAAACTTGAGAAACTTGGAAAACAAATTTTCCATCTTCAGCCTGTTTTATAGTAGCAAGCATAGTTGACAGTTAAATATTTATTTAATGATTGCAAATATTTTTTTGGTGAACTGTATTTACCTGTCCAAAAAAATAGAATAATTTTGATCTTTCAGTGAAAAAAAGAACTCAGTCGGCAATGCTAGTAATTTGCTTGGTGCAGATATGACCTAAGGTGCTTTTCGTAATATCTTCTCTTCATATCTGTAACTGTTACATTAAAGTGCAATTATAGCTGAAATTCGGGAATGTATGCATGCTGAGAGATGCATTTGGGTGACCTTTAAGACTTGGTCCCTGATCTCGAGATTAATTTCTTTCCATCTAGTTAGAGAGGACTGATTACTAAGCTACTAAAATCATGAGCAACATTGTTTTTTAAATACAAACTTCAGGGGATCCCTGGGTGGCGCAGCGGTTTGGCGCCTGCCTTTGGCCCAGGGCGCGATCCTGGAGACCCGGGATCGGGTCCCACGTCGGGCTCCCGGTGCATGGAGCCTGCTTCTCCCTCTGCCTGTGTCTCTGCCTCTCTCTCTCTCTCTCTGTGACTATCATAAATAAATAAAAATTTTAAAAATAAATAAATAAATACAAACTTCATACGTTGACTCAGTAAAGTGATAATAAGAAAATAGAAAATAAAAGTTGATTAAAATGAAGTGCGGACAATTTGAAAACATTAACTCTAAGTGGGAACTATAACTGTTGTAGAATGTAGGTGATAGATTTTCTTATTTCAGTATTTGCACTAACTGCCTAAAATATCTACCAAATTAGCATTTCAGAAATAGGACCATATGCTAAAATAACATGACTTTACACCTCAATGCTTTGTATGTAAATGTAAGGACATTTTTAGCTGTAATGTTCAGTAGAAGAAAAAAATGGGCTGTTAAATCTCTAACGGTGATTGAACTAATTTTTATAAGACTATTGTAGAAAAGCGTTGCCTAGATCCAGCTATTTTTCCTAGTCTGTTGCTTGCAAATCTGAGCATTCTCCAGTTCACTTCAACTCAATTCATCAGTTATTACCATATTTTCAAAACTTTCTAAGAAGAAGGTAACTATTAGCTTTGATTCCTCCCCTTTTCACACAATCTTTGGGTTTTATAGTTTTATTAGCAAAGCAAGTGGAAATGCATCTGATTCCCTACTTTGAAAAGAATTTGATTTCTAGCAGATATTTCATAGTTACATCTTTTACTAGAATTTATCTCTTTGCCAGTTTTATAATCTATATTACAAAAATATTATCCTTATGTTTAATCTGGCTTGGTGATATATAGCATATCCTTCAGAAACAGCATGTGTCTTTTTCTTTCGTTTTACCACTAGCCAGATTTTCTCTGCTGTATGGCTATTCACATTACCATAAATTTCTATACAACTTAAATAATTTTTAAATGCAGTTCTATACAACTAAATAGCAAAACAAATAAACAAAAACAGCAAAAAACAAATCCAATTAAAAAATAGGGAGAAGAGGGGTATCTAGATGGCTCAGTTGGTTGAGTGTCCCACTCGATTTCAGCTCAGGTCATGATCTCAGGAGTCTGGGATGGAGCCTAGTCAGGCTGCACCCTCAGCAAGGAGTCCACTTGAGGATTTCTCTCCCTCTCCCTCTATCCCTTCTCCACCCCTCCACTCACATAAATAAATGAATCATTTTTTTAAAAGAACAGGAAGAGGAACTTAATAGCCAGTTTCCAAAAAAGACATACAAATATCCAACAGGTACATCCAAAGTTGCTCAACGTCAACTAATTATCAGACAAATACAAATCCTAACTACAACAAGATCACTTCACACCTGTTAGAATGGTTATTATCCAAAATAAAAGAGATAACAAGTGTTGGAGAGATTGTAGAGGAAACAGAACCCTTGTGCCCTGTTGATGGGAATGTAGATTGATGCAGCCACTATAGAAAACAGTATGAATATCCCTCAAAAAATTTAAAAAAAGAACTATAATATAATCCAGCAATTCCACATCTGGATACATATCTGAAGGAAATTAAATCACTATCTTGAAGAGATATATGCACCCTCATGCTCATGGTAGCATCATTCACATAGTCAAGACATGGCAATAGCCTAAGTCTCCATCAATAGATGAATGGATAAAGAAAATGCGGTATAGTTATACAATGAAATATTATTCAGCCATAAAAAGGAATTCCTGTCATTTGCAGCATGATGGAATTTGAGGGCATTAATGATAAGTGAAATAAATCAGACATACAAAGACAAGTACTATATGATTTCAATTTTGTGTGGAATTTTTAAAATCTGAACTCACAGAAACAGAGTACAGATTGGAAGTCCAGAAACAGGGGTGTAGGTGGGGGAAATAAGTGAAGGTAGTCGAAAAATACAAATTTCCAGTTAAATGATAAAAAAAAATTCTGTGGATGTAATGTACATTACTTTCAAATATGCAATATTTACTATAGTCAACAACACTGTATTGTATATCTGAGAGTTGCTAAGAGATTAGACCTTAGAAGTTCTCATCACAAGAAAAAAATCATAACTATGTGAGGTGATGGATGTTAACCAAACTTACTATGATAATCATTTTGCAACATATACCATCATCAAATCATTATGTTGTAAATCTTAAACAAATGCAATGTGTTAAGTCAATTACAACTTCATGAATCTGGGAAGAAATCTAAAAATGCACTTCTACTCCCCTCAGACTACTTTTAAGATGCTTTAGTTATGAGTTTCATTTCACAAGGTCCATAACCTATGAGATGATTGCAAATTCGTTTAACTTGTTGTCCACTAATGTATAGAAACAAATGAAGACCACCCAAATAAGAACAAACAGACACTATTTATCCACAGCTAGCTATAGGGAGAGAGTCAGCCACCTTCACTGGCATTTGGCAGAGACTCAAAGCAGGTGGGGAAATGGAAAAGCTTTATAGTCTAATAGAGAGAAGTCTTCAGAAGTGCTCTGATCGGAGTGTTTGGGCATGGGAAAGCTAGAGGCTAGCTAACCAGAAGTGGGCCATGATATGAAGTTGGTTTGGAAAGCATATTTAGCAAACCCTGATTGGTTCTGAATTGGAAACAGGGATATATAAAAAAAAATAGGGGAGTTGGTAGTCACTGACCAAGACCCAATCATTCTGGACTTATTGTGACATAGGCTGAGATTTAGTTTCCTGGATTGGCTGCTGCAGAAATTGTGGGCTAGTGTCCTATTGTCATATATGGTCTTATCATTGCCTATCTGCATATTCAATCTCTCCTGTGTCAGAATTTCAGCTTAGTGGTATTTGTTTTTTTTTTTTTTTTTTTTTTTTTTAGTGGTATTTGTTTTTGGTTTTTTTTTTTGGAGGGTTTTTTTTTGGCTGGGTACAGTATACTTTATTGATGGTACATGACAAGGTAGGGCTCCCCAAGCCCCTCCCCTTCCTTAGGAGGTCTGGGATGTAAATTGAAGGTCAGGAGATTCTCAGTGTGTTGGGGGATTAAGTTGGGGCAGGGACTCCCCAGCAGCTGAGGGCCTCTCTCTTCCTCTTGTTCTCACTGGGGCTGGTGGTCCAGGGGGCTCTTACTCCTTGGAGGCCATGTGGACCATGAGATCCACCACCCTGTTGCTATAGCTGAACTCATTGTCAGACCAGAAAATGAGCTTGACGAAGTGGTCATTGAGGGCAATGCCAGCCCCGGCGTCGAAGGTAGAAGAGCAGGTGTCACTGTTGAAGTCACAGGAGACAACATGGTCCTCAGTGTAGCCCAGGATGCCCTTGAGGGGGCCCTCTGATGCCTGCTTCACCACCTTCTTGATGTCGTCATATTTGGCAGCTTTCTCCAGGTGGCAGGTCAGATCCACAACTGACACATTGGGGATGGGGACATGGAAGGCCATGCCAATGAGCTTCCTGTTCAGCTCAGGGATGACCTTGCCCATAGCTTTGGTGGTGCCAGTGGAAGCAGAGATGATGTTCTGGGCAGTCCCTCGGCCGTCATGCCACAGCTTCCCAGAGGGGCCATCCATGGTCTTCTGGGTAGCAGTGATGGCATGGACAGTGGTCATGAGGCCCTCTACGATGCCGAGGTGGTCATGGATGACTTTGGCCAGAGGAGCCAAGCAGTTGGTGGTGCAGGAGGCATTGCTGACAATCTTGAGGGAGTTGTCATACTTCTCGTGGTTCACACCCATCACAAACATGGGGGCACCAGCAGAAGGAGCAGAGAGTATGACCCTCTTGGCCCTGCCCTTCAAGTGAGCCCCAGCCTTCTCCATGGTGGTGAAGACCCCAGTGGACTCCACAACATACTCAGCACCAGCATCACTCCACTTGATGTTGGCGGGATCTCGCTCCTGGAAGATGGAGATGGCCTTCCCATTGATGACAAGTTTCCCATTCTCAGCCTTGACCGTGTGGTGGAATTTGCTGTGGGTAGAATCATACTGGAACGTGTATACCATGTAGTTGAGGTCAATGAAGGGGTCATTGATGGAGACAACATCCACTCTGCCAGAGTTAAAAGCAGCCCTGGTGACCAGGCCCCCAAAATGGCCAAATCCGTTCACTCCAACCTTCACCATCGTGTCTCAGGGACGCAGCTGGCACTGCACCAGAAGATGCAGCTGTCTGTTGAACGAGGAGGAGCAGAGAGTGAGCTTACTGTTTTCACCAGATGCAAGGATGGCTGGTAGCTGGGTGGGTTCGGTTATGGAGACATGGCATAGGAATTGGGTAGCTAATGGGGCAGCATCGTGATGCCAGGCAGCCAAATTCTATATGATAGACAATGGGCAAATTGTATGGATGGGGAAGTAGATGGAATGACCCTGAAGACCTCCTTCAACTTTAAGAATCTTATGATTCTGGGAGATAGTCATGGAGAAAGGCAGTCATTGGCATGTGGTCTTTCAAGTCCTGCATGGTCATGTAAGAATAGGCCTTGGCCCTGGAAGACCTCCTTACCAGGAGATAAAGAGTACCTACAGCTTGTGCTGAGCTTATCACATCATGTGGGAATATCTTTTCCTATTTTAGAATAAATATGCCTTCATTGTTCTGCTTAAGTCTGCATGTCATACAGCACCTGGTCAACCCCACTATTATATTTATTCCTGGTAGGGAGGGAATCAGGTCCTTGACCCGCAGCATGAGAAGGATTCATGCAGACCATCTCCCTGCATCAGCTACAGGATGAGATCTGCTGGCCATGATGGAACAGTACCCATAACTGAAGCTGATCTTGCTCTGTCTCTTCTCTATGGGCATAACACATTGTTCCATCCAGTGCCTAGATGAGTTGCATCTTTCTTGAAGACTTTCCATCATGGAGTGTGTTGATATCTTGAACTGTTGCTCCTAGTGGAGTGGGAATCCTCACCTGGAGTGATAAGAGGTGTCACGTGCTCAGTAGTTGTCATTAGGGAAATCTGGCTGTGGAAGGAGGGGGACTAAGGCTTGAAATAGGACTCAAGAGGAAGATTTAAACCTTTGTTTCTAGAATACTAGCAGATATACAGTAGGTAAATAAATGAATGGGAGGACTCAGGAGAAGAAAGTACAACATTATCCAGCAACTTGTGAGGACAAAAACCAGTACTGGATCTGGGCAAAACGGTTCCAAGAATCAAGCCAGGAACCAGGCACTATTAATAGAACATGGATATGAGGTTCTGCTTGATGCTGAGCTACTCTAAATTCCTCATGATTAAAAAATAAATGGGCCCACCACTATCTGAGACTGTAGCTGCCTGGCAAGTGCCATCACAAGCCATGAAGTCTCCACCAGGGCCAGTGCCCACCCAAATCTAGGAGACTCTTGAGATTGGTTTGTTCATGATATTTCCTTTTTTCAAAGAAACAGTTTTTGACAGGCAAAGTATCACCTACCTGAATATGCATATCTAATAAAAGATGAAAGTAGAATTTGAGCTCAGGCAAGACCTTGTCACCCCAATGTCTATACTCTTAACTCCATGCTCCCTCATATGATGAAGTTGAGAGGGACTAAGGTCTATATTAGGTACAGAGGAAAGAGAAGTCTGCAGCATAGAGAAAGATGCATCACTTAATCAAGGAAGGACTTAGGAACAGGGAAGATGAGACACCAGAAGACACTGCTTGATACTTAGGAGTGTTGCTTCCATGGGGGGACCTACGTGACTCAGAGAAGAGGGAAAGCGGAAGAAAAGTCATGACTTCTATTCTTGAAGATGTCAATGGAATGACATGAGAACAGAGACCCAATGAAAAACTCAGGCATGCTAAGAGCACTGGTGAAACTAGATTGGGGACCTGGAGGCAGGGAATGTCAGCCTGGGAAGTGAGAATGAGCTAGAAAAGGAGGTGAGTTAGGGGGAAAGAAAGGGATGCTTTGAAGAGATGCTTTGAAGATGACATGTGAGGAGCAGAGGATATTGACTTTGCCAGGATGGGATGCAGTTGAGAACTGAGTCAAGATATGGCACAAGATGAGGACAGTGGGGCCACAGAGCTGAAAGTCTGGGAGCATCCTCAGAACTATTGAGTGCAGATGAAAAACCCTGCCCAAAAGGCAGATAGAATCAAGATACCCCATGAGATGAGCAACCGTATTCTCCAACCAGAGTTAGGAATGGCCTTACAGGGTATCATGTCTGATCTCAAAGTATAGTCGTTGGACTAGCAGCACACACATGGTTTCTGAACTTGTTAAAAATTCTGTCTCTTGGAGCCCACCTCACTCATGAATTAGGATCTTCATTTTGACAAGATACCTGAATATTTGCATATACGTTGATGTTTATCACTGAAGGGGAGTGCATAAGGGATAAGAGTTGTCTCTTGTGGAGTGTGCAAGAGAACTATGCCCAGAATGCTAAGGAACCAGGATTTTGTTGAAGAGAGAAGCTTTTTGATGCTTGTTGTGCTTCCCTAACATTACCCAGTACTGTTAAAATATGGACCTTCATGAGAGGAAAGGTGAGCCTAACACATGGAATAGGGGAATATGTGGTTTAGCAGCCCATAGGTCTAAGGTGAGTGATTTAAGGATATTCAGCTGAGAGACGCCTGGGGGCTTAGTGGTTGAGTATCTGCCTTCTGTTCAGGGAGTGATCCCGGGATTGAGTCCCGCATCAGGCTCCCCACAGGGAGCCTCCTTCTCACTCTGCCTATATCTCTGCTCTCTCTCTCTCTGTGTCTCTCATGAATAAGTAAATAAAATCTTTAAAAAAAAAAAAAGGTCATTCAGCTGATCCTGGCTGTTGTCATTATCAAGCATAAAATCCCTACAAAGGCCAGAGAGTAGAGGCCCATGGGAAGAGCATCTGAAGAATGAGAAGGGAGCACAGTACAAGGCACATAGCCTAGAGAGCTAGAACAAGTTCCCAGCTTCTCGGGTTGGTTGTAAAATATTTCAAGCTGGTGGTAGCTTGAAATTGGCCATGGTGGAAGTATTTATACTACAGAAGTCAACAAAATACAAATCCAGGCTTTTTTTTTTTTTTTTTCAAAGAGCCAATTTAGCAGCAAACCACTGGGGGAAAATAGACAAATCAAAGAAGAAAGCCCTGGAGTCAATATGTGTAAAGTATGGAAGGAGAAATTTAGTAAAGGAAAAGACAAGTGAATTCCTAAAAAATGAGGCTAGAAAATGTTACTAGGGATCTTTCATTCCAAACTCCTGGTAGGGACTAGGATTCATCCGACACCTTCTAAAACTCCTTTACACAGGTCTATCTCAAGAATGGAAGTTCATTGAATGTTCAAAGAGGATAGAAAAGGTATGAAATAATGTGCAGAATAAAATTCTGAACTGACTAGAGAAATCTATAAAGGTGACTGGGTAGTTGGTGCTCCATTGGAGTAAGATGGCTCTTACTTAAAAAACTTAAGAGTTTTCATCTGTTGGGATATAAGTCTAGACAAGGTGGATGGTGGTTCATCCAGGGTGGGTTTGTTCTGAATCACATGGATATTGCATTTAATAATAATAGTGATAGGGACACCTGGGTGGCTCAATCTGTGAGGTGTCCAACTCTTGATTTCAGCTCAGGTCATGATCTTGGGGTCCTGAGATTGAGGCTCAAGTCAGGCTCTGCACTCAGTGCAGAATCTGCTTGTCCCTCTCCCTACCCCTGCTTATGCAGGCTGTCTCTCAAATAAATAAATAAATAAATAAATAAATAAAATCTTTAACAAATAATAATAATGATAGCTCTGGTGGTTTAGATCTACCCTTATGCTTTTGACATTATCATTATCTTTGGTTGAAAAACAAGTTTCTGATAAAGAAGCGTACCGTTGGAAGGCATCTCTCTCTTTTGGATCAAATTGTTAAATGTATTTAATAAACTATATCCCTGAATGTCTCTGCTCCAGCCAGGCCGTTTTCATTAGTTTCCATTGAAAGCATGTTGACCTTTCATAATTCTGTGGCTTTGCTTTTTCCATGCCTCTTGTTTGGGATGCCATTCTCTTTCCTGTCCGCCTGGTGTACCCTACTCAGACCTTAAGACCAAAACTACCTCTTCTAGGAAGCCTTCCCTGACCACTCCTGCCTATAGTAACCTCTTTCTCTATTCAACACAAATTGTCTGGACAAAGTCCTGGGAGATTGTCTTACACTTTTTTCAAATCAATCTTAGGAGATGTAGTCTTTCCATTGCAGAGTTCTTGCTGTGGAGACAGGACAGGCAACAGTCATCTGCATAAAGACACTTGATAAAAATAATACATGTTTTTCCTCTTGATAAATATTCTCTCCACTGTCAAATTCCTCAGTAGTCTTCTAAGCATGCCTCCCCTGTGCCAGTTTGCATTCTTCTGTCTCTTTGTTCTAAAACTAGATATTGAGAAATAGCAATGGCACCAGTGCCCCTTCTTTCATCATGTCACCAGCTCAAGCCAGCCGAAAGGATCAACCGACTTTGGTTCCAATTTAAATCTTTGCTTTAGATGATCAAATTGCAGAAAACCTAATTTAAGTAACCAAATAATGTGCATTAATAATGCAATAAGCTTACCCTTCCTGGGGTGGAGGGAAAAATAAATATCTTGATAATCTCAAAGGAGTCTCTAATTAGCTGAACAGAGCTGAGGAGAAGGGAGCAAAACAAATATCCAGGGACCCTCCTTGCCACTCCAGGACACTCCAGGACCTGGGGCAGCACAGCTGGGTAGCAGGGTGTCCGAATCATGCCGGGCTTTTTCCTTGAAGAGAGGATTTTATTTATTTATTTATTTATTTATTTATTTATTTATTTATTTATTTATATTTATTTATTTTTACCTTCTGGTGCCTCATGAAATGCTCGTACTCTATCCTATCACACACAGACATGACCAGATCTTTGGAAAGAGCTTCTAATTATAAACATGCTGTTTATTTTCCTGGCCCTGTATCATCTGACTTTCTTTTCATTTATATGAAATACGAGATACCGGTTTTGAAGGCTTGCTGATACTTTAATGAAAAGAAGTTTGGTTGTGAGTTGGTTGCCCTTTATCTCTGTTTCCATGTAATTTTCTAAATCAAGTATCTCAAATTCACTTTGGAGGTGAGACTCATATCCTACTTTCTACTAGAAAAAAA